GCCTTGTCCTCTGTCAAGCTGGCCTTATATGCTCATAAAGAGCCCCTCATACGGCATTTAACATACATTTTCATGCATTTCAGCTTCTGTCGGGGGACAAATTGATAATATTACATGTGGCAGCGAGCTTCGGTCAGCGTGACATTCGATAATATACATTTACATGTTTGCCCACGGGTAGCGCTGTGGCGGACATATTTGGTACTATGTTTCTAACATCTACATATTACAGTTACAAAGCATGTTAAGCATTTCTCTGAAGGCGCGAAGTTCAAATCTTCTTTGACGCTATAGGCCTGCTTTTGCATTCGTTTAACTAAAATTTACATCAAGGAAAACATTGGCTTTTAAAGTCAATCTTAATTTTAAATTAAATCACTAGAACTCCGTTATTTATCGTATGATATAGGCGTCCAACCCCACATTGTAATCGGGAAAATCAAGGCAATAGGAATGTTTGGTCAAACTTTGTCTAGCTGCTACCGTCTTAAATATTCGATTCAACTACCATTTCATAACTTAGTATAAATAAATCGAATATTTAGTAGTTGTACCTGTACTTTTGCACGGCTAACTCTTGCATCGGATTTAATTCGTTTCCTAAAAAATATCACACCACCCATGCTTAAAAAAATATTATTGCGGAAAATGCTCCGCGTTTAATCAAGGGATATTGGCTTATTAATGTTATTTTGTAATCAATGAAGTTGTTTAAAGCTGTTGATTTTGCCATTCCTCGTCCGATTGGGACAACTCTGGGGTTCCTAACAGAATTACCTGATTCCAAGCTGTGCATCGACATTATCCATTCCCGAATGGAAACAAAAGAAGAGATTCCAAATAAATATTTTATGTTTATTGAAACTCCATTTGAGACACATATTGATGTAGGGAGGGGGAGGGGTGTGGGTTCCCCTGTTTTTCTACAGTTACCAGATAGACATCTCATTAAATGTAATAGTATTCATATTCATATATGTATGTATATGTATGTAGTTCACATCGGTATATATTGATTTACATAGTGTAATGCAGGTAGTTGCTAGGTAATAATTTTTAACAAATCGTTATATGAATATATGTATAGTATTCTTACAAGCCTTGCCTACAGTCCACTCGACACTTTTAAAGCGCAATCCTCAATCCTACAATCAGCGATCCCCAACGCGACCCGCTGATATGGCGTTATTTTTACAGTGTTCAAAGTACTTGTCGTTGTTTAAATAATTAACTCTTTGGCTAAGTACAATAAGTGGGTAATAGTAACAGTAGGTATAGTAGAAAAGACCAATACACTTAAGTAGTAGATTTTAGCAGCAGTTTCGTTTTCGTTTTTACCGACAAAAAAATAGTTTCAACATTTAGAATATATGTTTTTTTGAGATAGCACAACCATTTTTAGTTTTCGTCTCCCAACCAGTTTCCCCTTATTTCATGTAAAACAACTCGGGTATGTCGACAGCCAAATTGTGAAGATATGTAACTAGCCAAACAATATGTAAAAGCTAAACGAAAACACAGGAATGGAATGACTTTTAGTTTCACTTGTACCATGACTACCTTGACAACTACCAAGTACGCTGAGTATTAGTTCTACTTACAAGTTCTACAAAAATGACTACATGCACTATACCAAGAAAAATTGATTATCTGGTACTAGATTATTCTACTCTGATCTGGTTTTTAAAGCAACAATCTAACAATACGGTTAAGAAGAGCCCCCAGCTGCCTTTGATATACATACGAGTTCAGATTAAGGAGTCATGGAGTTGGAATTTAACCATAACTAGCGTTTAAAAGAGCGTCTGCCCGGAAGGGTAGCCGTAGCAGACAGTAAACGGTAAATGGTAAACAGTTCGAATAGGGACAGTACAATTTTCATAATGCCTCTACGGATCGCTTAAATATAGCTTTACTATGTATATATAAATAAGTGTGTATACATATATGTATTTGTATTTGTAATTTGTTTAGTTTGAAACTCCAAGTCATTAGGTTGAACATTGATTAGATTTAATGCACAAGTTCCGAAATTGTAAATTTCACACGTTTGTCATTAGAAGAGATTGTCTTGTTGTAGCTGAAGCTTTGGGGCTGAAGGGGTGAGAGTTAGAAGCGATTGGTGCAAGCAATACGAATAAAGGATAGAAGGAAGGAGCAGCATGATGCCTCTTTCTGTATTTCTACATTGCTGTGGTGCAATCAATGCCCTACCATAAAATAACTACAGTAAATTCGTCTTATTCACGCTACAGTCGCACTCAAATCTCGCATTCAAACACAAGCACAAACCCCACCCATAAAGATTGTCTCATTAAATTTAAAGTTACCTATCATTTTTGTTCCGTCTGCAAAATTTCGTAGGTAGGTAGGTAGGTTTGTAATTTAGTAGATATAAATGTATATGTGTGGAACAGTTAAGCCTTTCAGCTGTACACTAAACTGTGGAGATAGTTGGAGACTATTTTAATTGTATTTGTATTTGCGCAACATTTGATTAACACTTATATATACCCATATTTTGACCCTGGCATATGTACTTGAGGTGTGGAAGTTCCTTCTCTCTCTATCTCTCTCTCTCTTTTAACATTATTGTTTCAGTGCCCGTTTCATTTCCTGATTCGATTCAAATGCAAACAACATTAAACTTTCATAAACATAACAAGCCCAAAAAATGTATACGCATAAATATTGCATGTATATTTCTTTATATTTTAGTTCTCTCTGGTACTATCGGTTTCTGTCCTCTCATCTCAATTATTGTGCTGTCTGATATACTTGATATACGATTACTCGTGGTGCCTTACCTTACCGTACCTTACTTACAAAGCTCTCTCACCGTGAATATTTAGTAGTATAACGTTACCCATAGCCCACTGCCTCCTGTCTTCTGCCTACTGCCAACCGATGCTAAGCTCATTGACTATAACTACGAGTATTACATACATAGGGACATATAGTAAATTGCAATTTGCTAGTTTTGTCTCAATTGGGGGAATTGGTTTCTGCTGGTGTTATATCTGATGGATTGTGTAATATTTTATATGGCTGATCCATACTTACGCGCTAACAAATTGAGCTTTCAGTTTGAGTATTTTATGTTCTCTAGGTGTCATGCATTTCATTTGAATTATTGTTTTCGATGTCTCACGCGCTGGCGTGTTCGGTCAAGGAGAGTTGTCAGAGTCGGAGCCCCCGTAGCTGTGCATGGGGAACAGCGGATACCATCCATTGATGTGCTGTCCGATGTTCACCTTGTCCAGATTGACCTCCGTGCCGCCCATGCCCTGGTTGTGCTCGAATCCCACGCATCGCTGCCACACCATGATGACGATGTTCCGCCCAAAGACGTCCGAGCTCTGTGAAGGGATAAGGAGATTTATTTACATACAAATTTGGTCTCGTGTAATTACTGGGCTCAAAATAAAAATGGTACATGCAGCTTCACCGCTGCACGCATCCATCCCCAATAAATTAACGACTGTGCACAGCTGGAAGCAACTGGCAGCTTCTTGCTGGCATCAAAATTGGCCTCACACATGGAACCTGTCCACTCCGGGCCCAACCACCATTAATCGCATTACAATGCAGGCAGAAGGTAATAGCATCCTGACGCGCTGGTGAGTCATGGCCATCAGCATCATCATCAGCATCATCCTCCGTATCGACAACCGCGTATACGAGTACATCCACAATCACATCGTTGGCACCTGTAACAATGCCCCATTTGCTCACCTGATACTTAATGGTCTGCCTGTAGAATGGCTCCGCGGAGTGGCGCACCACGCGCGTCTTTTTCTTGTGACGTAATCGCTCCCCGTCCTTGATGTAACATTTGACATATGTGTCCGGAGGCGTCTCGCAGTCCTCGTTGACAATATTACGAGCACAAATAAGCTGAAACAAGGAATAAAATAATAAAAACGAAAAGTAGGATACAGTTGATGTCCACTTACCTCCACCTCGACGTTCCCTTTGATTTTCACAAAACCCATCTTCAGCTCCCCGTAACGAGCCGTGGTCAGACGGTATCCCTTGGGGTGAATCTGCGAAGGACCCAGCTTCAGGCCGTAGCTCGACTCGCTGCCGCTGATGGCTGAGACATTAACATAGCTGCCGCTGAGGGTTTTCACCACGCTGTGTTTCCGCTGCGGACTGTCGCTGCCGCTATCCGTGCTGGTCCGCTGATAGATGCTGCCCTTTCGCGTCGGAGTGCCCATGGTGGGCGTGTCACTGCCCTTGCCCACATACACGCTGGCCTTGCGCTGCAGGGACTGTACCTGGGGCTGCGCGTGTGCCTGGGTATGTACCTCTCCCAACTGAAACATGCTGCTCTTGCGCTGGTGCAGCTGGCCGGCGGAGAGCATGTCCTGACTCTGTCCCTGGCCCTGGGCCATACCCTGGCCGCGCAGATTAATCATGCTGCCCTTGCGTAGGTTGGCCTGTTGCTGCAGCTGCAGCGAACCGTCGCCCAGGTTGGAGCCCAGCAACTGGTTGTGCCTCTCCTGGGCTACATTCGAGACGGAGGCGGCCTGTTTGAGCCGCGACAGCGCCTGCTTGGGGCTCTGGGGCGGCAGCTGGCTGCCAGAGCCCTTCCAGCGGGGTCGAAAGCGCTTGTCTTCCTCATCAGACGGCGGACTGGTGTCGTTGTTGCCAATGCCAATTGGCAGATGTTGCTGTAGATGCTGTTGTTGCTGCTGCAGCTGCAGCTGCTGGATCTGTTGCTGCTGTTGGGTGAGGTCGAGAATGGAGCTCTTACGACTGTTGGGTCCACTCGGCAGTCCGACGCGACTAGTTCCTGGTGGTGGGGGAGATAGGGACAAACTTAAACCATTCCTGCAGTGTCCCTGACGGCAGTGGCTCAACTCTTTTCAACTCAACTCAAAGAACCAAACTATTACTTGGCGAAGAATGAAAAGTGTTACATAGTCTATGACTAAGACTACTCCTAAAACGAATACTAAAACTAAAGCTAAGAAAAGGGGAAGAGTAAAGAGAAAAGAAGAAGCTACACAAAACGACAAAGCATGCGAAACTAAGTGAACTATCTAAAGCGAAAATGCTCGTATGCTTAGATGTAGACTTGTCTCAGCTGGGAAATTAAAAACTGAAGTACAAAACAAACAAAAACGAGGAGGACCGATTATGGAATTGGACGAAGCCCTGAAGGCGATAGGTGGGTAAAGCACTCTTGGTTCTTGTGGCGACAGCTAACACCATTCCTCGACAGGCTTTGGTTGTGGCCAGGTGCTGGTGTTAGTCTTCTCCAGTTTGGCCAATTTGCTCGCCGTGAACGAGACGTTTGGTATGTCGATCGTCGTTGTGGCATCCTCATGCGACTTGGAGACAACGGCCGGCCAGAAGTCACTGATGATGACCGCCATGATGGCGGGAATGACAATATCTGGATTCTACGTGGGCTACCTGATAGACATCAAGGGCAGGGTGCGAATTTTACGCTGGATGCTCCTTGTCACTATATTGTTGTCGGTTATCTCGGCCTTAATGCCGGAAGTATATTCCTTGTCTGCGATGCGATTCCTGGTTGGAGTTTTGTATGTATATATGGTCCGATGATGTGGTTCACACTTATTCTCTCTCTATACAGCCTTTGCGGACCAGCGACGTGTATTCTGGGCTACATGACGGAGTTTTCTGCGCCACATGCGCGTCCGCCCCTTGTTGTCCTGTTCAGTCTTGGCGTGGGAATATCGCTGATTTACTGCCCGCTGGTAGCCAAGTTTTTTCTTCCCGAGCGAATCTGTGCGAATGAAGATGGCTCGTATGTCGTGCGCTCTTGGCGCTTCCTTATGATGCTGTATACGCTGCCCGGTCTATTCGGGCTGTTGGGTCTCTGGTTCCTGCCTGAGAGTCCCTACTATCTGATGTCCGTGAAGCGCAAAGAAGAGACCTACGAGGTGCTGGACTGGCTGTGTCGCCGCAATCGAAAACAAATTGAGGACCTGAACATCGACCTACTGGACTTCCCGAGGGACACCATTGTCGCCAAGGCCAACTACTTTAAGCTTGTGTGGAACGACACCATCCGATTGGTTAAGCCGCCATACTGTCGCGACTTTATGGTCTGTACGCTTCTCTCGTTCGGAATGTTTCTGATGTGAGTGGAGATCTATATATAGAGGATTCACAGTTTTCAAAGATAATCACCATTCGATTCAAATCGACAGATCACTGGGCCTGGGGATGTGGTATCCTCTGCTGCGGAATCAGGACAACAGCCAACACCGACTGCTCTGTGACGTGCTCAGCCAGCCCAAGAACTTTGACCAGCCGAAGTCGAACGTTTCGGCCACCAACGAAATGCCAAACTTCACCGATCCCTTATACTATGGCATTGCTTACATTCTGTTCTACTTCCTGGCCCTGTTCCTGCTGGTATTCATTTCGCGGAAGCACGTCTTCGTTGTCTACGTTAGTTTGGCCGCCGGTTGCGGGCTGGCCCTGAACTTCATCAAGGAGCCGATCGTCATTCTGATATGCTTCAGTGCGATGATGATCCTGCCGGGTGTGCTAATCATCCTGGTGTCCTCAGTGTTGGTTGACTGCATGCCCACACAGCTGCGGGCCAAGGCCCTGAGCCTGAACAAGGCGCTGTCGCGGCTGGGGGCCATTATCGGCTGTCTGCTTGTCGGCCTCCTGCTTAAGGTTTCCTGCTTGGTTACACTCAACATCTTCGTGGCCTACCTCATATGTAAGTGCTAAGCGTGATCGACGCCGATCACGCCGTGCTATCAATCCGCTTCTAACAAGATCTACTTTGCTTCCAGTTTGCATCATTCTGTGCTTCTTGCTGCCCAAGTAAAAGCAGGTTCTGTTCTAGGCTTCAGTTTGTCTAAAATTTGTGATTTTTGAATTCGTGACTTTAAATAAATCTGTACTTTGTTCATGGCCGACATAGACGATGTATTTGGCAGGCTTGGTAAGCTGGTAAGCACGGCTACTCCGAGGCACTCCTCGTTACGTTCTCGCATCTCCGTCTCGCAGGCTTTGGGCGTATGCAGATCTTCATATTCTGCAGCTGTGCCGTAATCCAGGTGTACGTGACCAACGAACAGCTCGGTTTAGTGGTGATCGTGGCGGGTGCTACCTGTGACCTGGGCATACACGATCATCGGCTCTCGTGGCTCTACTGCGCCGTCATTACTGGCCAGATTCTGATTAGCCCTTATATGGGCTATAAGGCGGATGAAATCGGACGGCGAAAAATGCTGCTCATAACCATGATCCTCAGCCTGGCGGCGTCCCTGCTCTCGGCTCTCATGCCAGAGTTTTGGTCATTTCTGGTGATGCGCTTTTTCGTGGGCCTCTTGTGAGTACCTAGAGTCCCAAACTCTGCTCTTTCGACTCTAACAATTGTTATCCACTGTTCCGTGAAGCGTGACAGGACCATCATCGTTGATTGTGACCTACTTGAGTGAGTTCACGAAGATTTCGCTGCGAGGTAGCGTGATCAACTACCAGAGCTACTTCATCGGTATCAGCATGATCTTAATGACATGTAAGACTCACAGTCACCCACTTTTCGAATCTATAGCCTGGCGTATTTTCATGGCAGGTGTAGCCTCGGTTCTGCTTCCCCTGAAGTTGCACCACAGAATCGTGAACGATTATGCCCTCACCAGCTGGCGAGTTGTGGCCCTACTCAATCTGCTACCTGGAATCATTGGACTTGTCACTCTGTGGTTCCTGCCCGAAAGTCCAAAGTATTACCTGGCCGTTGATCAGCAAAAGAGAGCCATGGAGGCGCTGGAGAGATGCTGCCGCCTCAACAAGGGCAAGGACGTAACGCTCTCCAGTCTGGGAGTTGAGTCGGTAACTCAGCCACGTTTGCCCGAAAAGCCAATCCATCGCAGGTGAGCTCGAACATCTGTATGTAGTTTCAATCTTACTTCGTGAATGTCCCAATCTAGTGCCTTCGCCCGTCAATGGTACGATGTGGCTCCCCTCCTGCGTGGCCTATATTTCCGGCATTTGGCGCTCGCCTCCGCCGCCATTTTCATATTGTTAGGCACGTAAGTTGTGGTGGCAGTAAGGGGGATCCTTCTGAAGATGTGCTCAACTTCTGACTTTCAGTGGCGCTGGTCTTGCCAGCTGGATGCTGCGTGTCCGCAATCTCACGCTGAAAAACAAGGATTCGCAGACCATCTGTGTGGTGCTCGAGAAATTTGATGAACACAAAATGGATCTTCCGAAGGTGAGCTCGAGCCTTTTTTGGGGAATTCAGCTAATGATCCAGCATTTTGTTTGTCTTTTAGTGTGATTTGGGAATGGATGATCTGAAGGACTCTGTTTTCCATGGCCTCGCCGTTCTTGGTGTCTTCATATTTACAAGCATCCTTCTCATCTGGTTCGGCCGCAGAGTCATCGTTTTTCTATATGTTTTAGGGGCAGCCCTTGCTGGCTTCCTCTTGAACTTTGCGAAGGACGAAACGTTGATACTCGTTCTATTTCTCATTTACATTGTTGCTCCACTGTGCAGCCTGAGGCTGACCCTATCGATGCTCATTGATCTAATACCAACCAATCTCAGGGGCAAAGCTGTATCCATTAGTATGATGGTTGGGTGTCTGGGAGGCCTGGTCGCCAGCCTTTTCGTAGGCTACACCATGAAGCTCAACTGCTACGTCACCTTCAATACCTTTGTGCTGGCTCTAATATGTAAGATGTGTCTCATCTTTCAATCATTGGCCCCATCTTAAAAATTCCATTGTATTCCAATCCACAGTTTGCGCCATCTTGATCGTAATGCTACCCTCTGATGGGAATATGAGGTTTAAAAAAGGATCGGTGTAATCCGTTGCAGCTTTTTTCTGCTATCTTCTCTCTTGTAAATCCATTAATTAAATAAAAGTAGACTCTGACTTAAGCTTCAGCTGTAAATTTCTTTACGTGTGTGTTTCCTTGGAAATAAATTTGAAATATAATATGGCCGACATTGACGACGTTTATGGAATGTTGGGTAAGCCCCGGTGGGAGGACAAACAGCAATCATATCTCATCATAATTTTTGGTTCATCTACAGGCTTCGGTCGCATGCAGCGGACCATCTTTGTGTGCTGCATATTGATTCAGGCGTACATTACCAACGAACAGATGGGTTTGGCTTTGGTTGTGGCCTCGAGCGCCTGCGATCTGCACATTGATGATCACCGCATGTCCTGGCTAATGAGCGCCGTCTTTACCGCTCAGATCCTGGCGAGCCACTACATGGGCGACAAGGCTGATGACATCGGGAGACGCAAACTGATGCTCATATCGGGGTCACTGATGATTCTCTCTTCTCTTCTCTCGGCCCTCATGCCCGAGTTTTGGTCCTTTTTGGTGATGCGCTTCCTAGTTGGTGTCTTGTAAGTACGAGTATCTGCTGGGAGATAGTATCCATACTGATTGCTCCTTGCGTCTCTTCTTATTGCCATTTAAAGTGTGAGTGGACCGGCAGTGGCTATGCAGACCTACTTGAGCGAGTTCACAAAGTTCTCCCTGCGCCCCAAGGTGCTTAACTACGTTAGTTATGCCATAGGTCTTAGCATGATCATTGTGCCATGTAAGGTTAACCCTAATCCTTCCATCACCTGACCTGACATTCAAATTCACATTCACTGCTGTAGGTACTGCTGCACTGATCGACGTAAATATCCTCATCTACAATGATTACATCTTCTCTAGCTGGCGACTTCTGATCCTGCTGAACCTGCTGCCTGGTTTGACTGCGTTCGTTATGCTTTATCGACTGCCCGAAAGTCCTAAGTATTATCTATCGGTTAACGAGAATGGCAAGGCCCTGGCGGTGCTGGAGGAATGCTGCCGCATAAACAAGGGCAAGGATGTTACCTTGGCCAGTCTAGGAGTGAACTCCGTCACGCAGCCACGCTTGCGTGGTGCTACCATCAAGCGGAAGTAAGGATGCATTCGGTTAGAGCTTCAAGTTCGATATAAACACTATACATACTTCTGTCCCAATTGTTTGTTTCAGCTGTGTGGCTCGCCTGTGGTACGAGTCGCTACCGCTCCTGCAAAAACCTTACGTTCGTAACTTTTTCCTCACGTCCACAGCTGTTTTTGTGCAATTTGGCTTGTGAGTTGCCATTCCAAAAAGATGAAGGGTCGAGATATTGAAGTTTTATTGCAGGAGTTTCGGACTGGGCGTTTGGATGCTACGCATACGCCATCTTATTCTTCAAGTCGAGGAGAACGAAACGATCTGTGTGCTGATAAAAGAGCATGGAGATAAGAAAATGAAGCTTCCTACGGTACGCCAAGGGGTCTTAAATATGTTTCTGTATCTGTATATATTTTTACTTTGTATCATTTGTCCTTTCAGTGTGATTTACGCTTTGAAAATGTGATGGACTCCATTTACCACGGTATCTTTGTGCTTTTCCTCTTCATTTTGACCAGCTTTCTCCTGATGTGCAGTCGGCGCAGAACCATAATATTGCTATACCTTCTGTCGGCTGCCCTTGCTGGTTTCATGTGCAATTTTGCTCAGTACGATACGCTGATTTTGATTGTATTCCTGATTGTCATTGTTCCGCCGATATGCAGCCTGCGGCTGACCCTATCGCTACTCATCGATCTGGTTCCCACTCATCTCAGGTGAGGTTTCCTTCGGTGTCCTTCCTTGTCTTTATTTTGTGTGTGTATTTGCATTTCTCTAGGGGTAAAGCAGTTGCTCTGGCCTTGATCTTCGGACGGGCAGGTGTTCTGTGTGCCAGTTTATTCATCGGCTACACTCTGAGGGATCATTGCTATTTCACCTTCAATGGCTTTGCACTGGCCATCACCGGTAATACTCAAATATTTGATGGAGTTTATAATTATAATGAATAATTATGAGTTCTCTTGTAGCTGCCACGATCGTTATTCTGCTGCTACCTTCCGAGAGTAAAATGATGGACCGTGTTTCCAACTAGAGTCACCTACTAGTCTGCCTGAATACCCATACCCATGCCCATCCTGAAGCATCCCCTGCCTTATCAACAGAATATACAGCATGACGGTTACGTGATATGCGTTATTATTTGACAGGCATGCTTCATTAAAACTTTTTGGCAGCAGCTCGAATGAAGTGGTTCGATATGGGGCGATGTGCGCACAGTAAGGACAGGACAAGGGCAATGGGGTGTCTTATCTGTCTAGCCAATCAATCAATTGGGCGCACAGTACGAAGTGAAAATTTTATATCCGCCGCCCCTACGGCAACAAAAAAGGATTATGGTTTGCCATAGTTCAAATCATTTTTTTCTTTTTTTTTCATTTCTTCCCGCCAGCCAAGAAAAGTAAAATAAACGTCAAATACACTTGCCGACAGATGCGTGTGGACTTTTCTTTCCTGTGCGGGAATATACATTTATATAAAAGTGGGTATATGTGTGTATACGTAGATGTACATGAATTTGTATAGCTGTATGTATAGCAGATATGAACGAGCGTAAAAGGCAAAACAGGAAACGAAATGAAAGGAAAGAATAGAAAAAGGAGAGTTGAAAGCAAAGCAATCGCTAAGCGGGTTAATAATAACTGTCGGAGCAAGAAAAATCGAAACGGTAGGGGCTAGGAAAAAGGAGAAAAACATATTGAGAAGAACGACAAAGTTGTTTTTGCCGAACAAGCATAATACTCGTAATAGGGACATCTCTCCGGGACGATTGGATGGAGCTGTCGAATCCTGTATTCTCGCAGACTGATTTACTACCCATGAATCTGGCTGAACGCTGGCTTTCTTCCAGCTAAATCTAAACCCACCATTTGGGGTCTAATAGAAGACAGACCCAGTTACAGAGACAGACATCAGACGCTGCTACTCATATTTAACGGCTTGTTTGAAGATCTGGAAAATACGTATTTGGGCTTTGTTCTCTTATCGCGTTGTTTTCCACCGCCGCATCGCCGAGTGAGTTTTTTATTTTGCATTCTGGCCTGGCTTTTAAAAGTTAATTTCAAGGCTGAGCTATTCCAGAGCAGCGGTGTGTATTCCGCTCTGCGATGCTGCTGGGTTGTCAGCGCGTTGAAAGGTTTATGAGGGCAACGAATTGTTGCAAAGGCGCCATCCAACAGGTATTAAGGACTGGGATGCTGGGGGGTATCAGAACTAGTTCCAGAACCCTTTATACCACCCGTGTGGCTTGGCATTTAAAAAAAAAAATTGTTGGGAATTTTTTCTTTTGTTGAGTTTTCCTTTTTTTGCCTGGCTTTTCTTTTCTTAAAGTTTACCTTCCCTTTTCTTCCGTATACTTTTTTTTGTGGGGCTGTGCAAATAGCATCAATAAGCTTTAATAAGCTCCAGCCACGTAGCCACGCAGCCACGAAGATGGCATCAGAAGTTTCGATGTGTGTCCTGGGGCGTGGTACTGGGGCTGGGACACTGGATTATCAAGTGGTATTTTGTGTGTGTTTGTGTATGTGTGTGTCTCTGTATGCGTTTGGTTGTAATAAGATTTCGGAATTTGAGCAGACTGCGAATGAGACGCTCCTTAACATGCATACGAGTGAGAGAAGTACATAGGTAATATCGTGTGAAAGCGAGCGTTAATTAAGTGGCAACATGCATCTCTAGCTGGAACTGGGATGCCAGAATTAGCACAAAATAACGGCTACAAAAGATGCTCCTTTTCTGTTTTTCTGGGAATACTTTTTGGTAGGGGAAATACGGAATAGTTGTAGTTGTAGTATCTAAAATGCCAAACGTAAACGCAAACGCAAACGTAAACTCAATCTTAACTCAAGTTCATTTTCTTGCATTCTTACCAGTGGGTGGTGGTGATGTGGTTTTAGTGTGTATCTGTAGTCTTGCTTTAATGCAGTTTACATTTGTTGGATATTTATTTGTATGCCGTTTGCGTAAATATATATGTGATTGCTGTTAAGCTTCAATTTGCAGGGATTTGGTTTTGGATTTTTTTTGTATTGTTATTTGTATAATTTACAAAGGTATTTTTCTGTTTTCATTCGTCTGTTGTCTGCCAACCATTTTTTTGTCTGTTCTGTAGTTTCTGTTACGGTTAAAGTGGTGCAATGTCGCAGAGTGGCAAGTGTTAAGTGGCTTGGTGTTGCTCGAGAGAGTGGTGGCAACTTTTCAATTGAGTTAACTTATGCAAAAGAACGTTACAAAATAATCGTACTGACTGATTGGTGTGTGCCAAGGACTTTGAAATTAAGGTGGTTTTAGGTTAGTGCTTTTTTGTTATTATTAATATTAAAGATTTCCTATGATTTTGTTGTTTTGGTTTTAATTGAATTTAGTGTTTTTTTTCCATTGTGTGTGGGGTGTGTCAAAGCTTTGATAATGCGACACCGATATTGTGGCTAATAGTGGAAAAGATATGGAAGAAGACATTAGATAGATAGATAGTTCGAATAAGAGAGAGATAGAGATAGTGATAAATATATTTATATGTATGTATATGTATTTATGGAGCATAAGAGTGTACAATGCAATGGCTGATGTATATTATCTATTGTGGCATTAATCATTATCATGAGACACAACTAGCAGCAAGGCACAGTTGAGGATTAAGGAGGATTGTGAGTGGAGTGGCGTAGCGTGGAGTGGAGTGTAGTGTGCAGGAAACATAGAGCAAGAGTCAGAGTAGAGCGACAGAAAGAGAGAGAGACAGAGAGAGTCTCCATGTTCGAGATCTCCTTATGGTTCCAGTGTTGGCAAAATCATAACAATTATAAGCAGAGTCTCCAGATAGAAGCATCTCTGAGGAGTAACTCTTCCTTGTTACCCCATAATACCATTACTTATGCCATAGGTAATGTTAAACAATATCAATAACCCCTCTACTCACGTCGTGATCCCATGCGCTTGTGCTGCTCAGTGCCCAGACTCATGGTGCGTCCCAGTTCGCCGCGGACAGCCTTCAAGGATTTCAAGATCTCATCCGGATCGCGTCGAGCAACGGAAGAGCGACGCCGTCCCGCAAGATACGATGTGGGTGGCGTAGCCATGGCGTCCTCCTCGAGCCGCTGCTTTTCGGCATCCTGGAAACTCGATCGACGCGAGCCCGGCAATGAGCGCGAGAAGTCCTTGCCCAGCTGGTAGACCTCCACTTCCATGGTCTCCGACTGCGATGAGCCGCGTCGGGAGCCCGCCATCCAAGCGGTGTCGGGATGCAGCAGCGTCGCCCCATCTCCAATGGAGTCTACCTCATCGGAGATGGATCGCTGCATGTTATAGTCGCGCCTCAACAAGCGGCTGACATCACCACAAGGTGCCCCGGCCCCGGCTGCAATGGAGCCACGTGGTGACACACTCGGCGACTTGCTCATGCTGATGCCACGCAATCCCTTGATGTCGTCCAGCCGACACCAGATCGCCTGATCGTCGAGGAAGGCCTGCTGCAGCTCGATGCTGCATTCGCCCAAGAATATGGACTCGGTGTGCGGCACCAGATCCCACAGCTGTATGTCTATATAGCGATCCATCAGGCTGTCGGCCTTCACTTGGCCAAATGTCAGTGTGGCATTCCAAATGGGATTCTGTGTGGGTCGACTGACCTCCGTCTGTTGGACACTGCCATCGCCGCTGAAAAGGGGATTTAAAGAGATAATGCAGAAAGCAGAATTACGCAGATTGAAATGAATTATGAGGAATTAATAATGGAACTAAAATCACTTACCATTTGGGCAGAATACGGACCTTGGCATACGCCTCCGGCAGATTGCCGTGCCCGTAGGCCTCGTCCCTAAGCGCCAGATCATCGGCAGCCATCAGGGAGACGACCAGCTCCTGTCGCTCTGCGTGATACCAAACCTGAATCTGGACGCGTCCAGAGACCATCTTTTCGCGTGCAATTTGCTCCTGCGGCGGATTGAAATGCTCATTAGTGGGGCAGACAGACATAGACAGAGAGACAAAGCGAGAGCACACACACTGTCTGAATGTGGAATGCCTACTACTGCTGCATCTACATATGGAAGTTCTATAGAAAATATATATATATGTATGTATATGTTTCATCAGGATTCATCAGCCTATGGCCTACGCAACAAGAAAATGCAGTAACTGCACGACTTTTCGTCTTGCCTTGCCTCTATTTACAGTTGTTGGCTGATTTCTTTGCTTTCTCGTTGTTTGTGTGTGTGTTGATTCTTGGGTGGGTGTGTGTATGTACATAAACTGAACAACGAAATGAAAGCAATCAAAACGCAAAAAAATACTAACTAAACGAGGCAAAACCAAGTGCAGGAATAGCAATAGCGAGAGAGAGAAAGAGACATAGGTGGGACATGCTATATAAATAGCAGTGCACTTCCCCCTCGGGGGGCAATAGATACGGACGCACATAAATATAATGCAAATTATGATGCGACCACACACAAACACACAAATTCAAACAAAAACGAGGCATGTGCATGTGCTTGCATTAAAAAAAGCACACACATACTTTTACAGATAAACAAACCGCACCGGAAATACAATCTTCTATTGAGGATTCTCTATATCTCTCTAAAACCCCCGCCCCCCAAAAACGGAAATCATTGTGGCGCAGTGGCGCATACAATTTCGGTGGTGTGGGTTTTTCTGTGAAACCTACAGTACAGTACAGTACATGTATATGGGGTAATTGGTAATAGCGTGGCTTCCCCATATAACATATTCATAGCGTGTACATGGGCTCACACCCACACTCACACCCGCACCCACATTAAAACAGTAAAAATACTAGCAGCAGCCGAGAATTGACGGCTGGATCTGCAGCAGAACCGGAAGCCGTTATATTTCTATAACGTGTACCAAACGGAAATGAAGCGCGCACACGTAGGATAACACCACACATGCAGACCGACGGACCCTGTGCCAACTGCGAACTGTTGCTTGGTTGTTCGGTAACTTTTTTATGCCCGAAAAAGAGGAAAATTATTACTATATGCCGTTACGCCGCCCCCTCCCTTCTATCTCTTTTTCTCTCTCTCTCTCTCTCTCTCTCATATGTGGAAATCGAATTCGTGTCGGGACTGTTTATAAGCCACGGAGTGCCGGAGAACGAGACACTGATGGTGACGGAGACGGATGCGGGGTGCTCTCTCTGGTGCTGGCGCATTTATTTTTATCTACAGGTAAGCAGGCACATGTACTTGCTGGATTATTGGAGTTTTTCAGGCATCAGGCAGTGCCAAAGCCAGAGCCGGAGCGATAAAAGATTAAGCGCTTGAAAACTTTTCAACCCAGAATGCCTCCATGTGCCTGTCGATAATCATAATGATGAAGGCTCCCCACCAAAGTGTCAGTGGGCGAGGGGCGGTTCTCAATTGTTGTTAAAAGTTTTCTAATTTTCGACATTTCGAGCATTTTATGCCTCCAAGTTG